AGTACTCTTAGGTCTTCTTGGTGAGTTGGTCTTTTCTCATTATGGAGCAGCCCCGTTTGTACCTGGTAATTTGCTTGGTTCTGAAGTCTTTTTTGACATTAACGTAACCATGGCTACTTTGTTCTCATGAATAGTGTATGCTCGGTGTAGCTTTTTTACTTTCAATCTCTCAATTTGAGTGACCAGCAAACATCTTCTGCAAAGGGCCGAGTAAATATTTTGGGGTTCCTGGGCCACATTTGATATCCGTCACCTCTTTCTTCTACTTTTTTCCTACAACTAATAAAATATGTAAAAGTTGATCTTTACAGCAAGCAGCTGTCATGGCACACACGTCATCCCAGCACTCTGGGAGGCTGAGGCAGAGTTCCAACCTAGTCTGGGCAACTCAGTGATTTAACAAGACCCTGTCCAAAAAGAGAAAAAAATGAAAATAGGGCTGCAGCTCAGTGCAAAGGCCCTAAGTTCAATCCCCAGTGCCACACACACACACACACACACACACACTCACAAAGCAACTTCGCCATGCTGTGACAACCACCACCGCTGCTGTCTGCAACTCTTTTCACTTTGTAAAACTGACCCTCACCATGCCCGTTCTCCCCTCCGCCAGCCCCTGGTACCCTCTTACTCTCTGTCTCTGTAAGATGCCTTCCTTTTTAAGGCTGACTGTACATAAACTGTGTTCGCCACATTCCATATACTCATCGCCCATTGAGAAAATCTGGAGCTCCTTCCACGTTTTAGCTTTTGTGAATAATCTTGCTGTGACTATGGGTGTACAAAAATCTCTTTGAGACCTTTCAATTATTTTGGAAACATATATATGTATGTGTGTGTGTGTGTGTGTGTGTGTGTGTGTGTGCAATCTCCAAAAGCAGAAAACAAAAGCAGATGCTGCATCATGTAGTAATTCTATTTTTAACTTTCTGAGGAACTGCCAAACTGCTTTCCACAGCAGCTGTGCCTTCCTACATACTCAGTTTCTCTGTATCCTCCAAATTCTCCATGTTCTTGTTAGCATTTGGTTTTTTTTTCCCCTTTCTTTCTTTCTTAATTTTGGTAATAGCCACTTGAATGGATGTTAGGCTGTATTTCATTATAACTTCGATTTGTGGTTTTTCTTTTCTAATGATTAGTGATGTTGAACATCTTTTCATGTGCTTATTGGCTATTTGTGTTATCTTCTTTAGGGAAATGTCTATTCCAGTTCTTTGCCCATTTCTGAATCAGGCTGTTTTGCTGTTGTTGGGTTTTAAGAGCTTCTAAATTCTGGACGTTGATCATTTATTAAATCTCTGACTTGTAAATGCTTCCTCCTGGTGTGTGGATTATCTTTGTACTGTCTTGAGTTTCTTTGATGCACAACATTTTGAAATTTTCATGAAGTCCAATTTGCCTATTTTTCCTTTTGTTGCCTGTGCCTTTGCAGTTATAGCCAGGGAATCATTTCAGAAACACATGTCATGAGGCGCTTGTGGTGGCTTTGCATTTTACACAGATGAGGAGACTGAGGCTTGGAGCCTTGGGCCACACCCAGAGCTGCCAGGGGATCTGACCAGTGATGACCTCTGGGAACAGGCCTTAGCCCTCTCCACTGGATGACACCCCGTGGGAAGGGACCGGAACCCCGAGACAGCATGATCCTTCCGGACTGGCAGGCCCCCCTCAGTCCTCACCCACGCACAAACTGGCCGCGTGAAGTCGGATCTCTGCATCTGCTGGACAAGAATAAGATCCCAGCATCTGGTCAGGGGCTGCCCTGCAAGTGGCGGATGGCTGGTGAAACGCTGTCTCTTCTAGTAATTGCCAACCAGAGGAAGCACACCTGAGGCGACCCTGGGGTACTCTCATTCACGCCAGCCCCCTTGGCTCCAGGCACAGTGCCCTCCAGCACCCTGCAGCTGGCTGTGGCTCCACTTGGGAGCTGGGGTCCCAGAGTCTCAGGACATGCATGCAGGTGGCACATAATAAATACTATTGGGTGAGAGAGTTGGCTTCCACCCACCGCTAGGGAAACTCGTCAGATACAGGGTGGGAGAGCGGGAGCTCTCAGGTGCTGAAAGGTTTATGTAAGAACCGGCGGCAACTTCCCTGGTTACCCCTACCTAACTCCATCTTGAGGGGCAGGGGGAGGATCCAGGACAACAAGGAGCTTCCTACACAGCCGAAAGGGGCAGGTAGTTCCCTCTGAGGGCCACCTTTGTGTTCTAACTGAGGTAATGGTGAGTGAAAACCAGGCTTCAGAGTGGCTTAACCTGGGGGGAGGGGTTGCTTTCAGTTTTGTTTTCCCGACTGCAGAATGCTCCCTGGACTGACCTCAAAGCCTTCAGGGGCACAGCAGGGATGAAATGTGGAAATGGCCCATTGCTGGGACGCGGAGGTTACCTTCCTTCAAGGACAGTGAGCTTGGCCTCCGCCCCACCCCCACCCCAGCCCCGCGGCGCTGGCAGGATCGGCCCCTGCACCGGGGAAGAGAAACCCTGCGCTCTCGGAGGCGGGGCGAGCCGGGCTTTGGGGACCAAGGTGGGGGCAGGAGTGTGGGTGTGGGCGTGGAGCCGAGCGAGCTGAGGGCTTGCCTTCCCCGAGCTGAAGAGCTCGCACGACGACGACATTGTACATGTGCGTGGCGCTGGTACTTTTCCAAGGGCTTTTAAATGCATTATCTTGTTGGAGACTCATTTGAGGCAAGGACTCAGAAGCAGACTGGAAAACAACTAATTTACTGAGTCCTGAATGCAGAGGAAGCAGAATGCAGTGTCTTTTTGCTGAATCTCAGACCAAAACAACCTTTTGCTAAAGAACAAACAAATAAACAAAAATGCAGAACATAATTCGCCAGGGAACACATTCTGAACCGAGGATCAGAACAGAGAATCGTAGCAGCAAATTCGACATTTATTGGGTGGTGGGCCTCCCGGGCCAGCTCCAGCTCTCCAGTGCGTCCCCAGGCAAGGGGGGTCCTCCAGCAGCCCTGAGCCCGGGGCCAGGACCCGCTGTTGAGAAAGGCTAGGGGGGGCTCCAGGTATGCCACCCCGAGCTAGGCAGCAAGGAGGGCCCCTTCTGGGGAACCTGTGAGCCCCCACGCCTGAGTGAGCACGATGTGGATGTCAGGGAGGGTGTGGAAGGAAAGGAGTCTTGGGATGGGGTTGCCAGACCTGGATTAGAGGCTGTGGGCAAGTCACCAATCTGGAGTGGCAGGGGGGCAGGGCTCTGTGGGGCAATGGGGGGTTCCGCAGCCTTCTCAGTAAAAACAGCTGCATCCCTGATCTCCTTTCGGTGGCACAGAAAGAGGTCACCAGTGGGCCTCTGTGTGCCCAAGGGAGAACCAGGCTCTCAGGCCAGGAGCCCAGATGAGAAAAGTGGGATGACCCATCCCAATAGGGACCCTTGTATGGCTCTCACACACAGCCTGGGCCACAGGCCCCGTTGTGCGTGCACACCACACACACACACACACACACACGGACACACTCTGCACTTGCACCGCTCACCACCACAGGCTCTTGGCCTGCAGTGTCTGTGTCTGCCCTTCCTGCCAGACCCTGACTTCCCAGAATCCAGTTCACAGGAGGCTGCTGCCAGAGATGGGACGGTGAGAAGTCCTTCCTGCCCTCCAGGTACACGGTGGCAACACCAGGATGCTGAGCAACCCTCCCCAGCACCATGGGCCCCACAGCTTTCAGGTCCTAGTGCCAGGTGAGCCAGGGCTGAGCAGCCCCTCTGCCAAACTTGTGTTTTGTACCACAAGTGGAAACCATGATCAAGTGGACCCAAGTGCCCACCTCTCCCAGCCGACCACCCCATGACCCTGTGACAGTGTAGCCTGTTGCCAGGACTCCAGCGAGACTACGGGAACAGCTAATGCATCCTTAAGCCCTTTGGCCCTAGGGAAAGTAAGGCCTTTGGCTCACCCCTGCCATCCCCCCGACGCCAGGCAGACCAGGCCCTGAGCCTGCACCTGGTCCCCAGCTGGCCCTGTCCCTAAGGCTGCCTTTGTGCCTGCACAAGGGAGACTCAGTTCCTCCCCTGCTCCTTGACCCCACATCCTGTATCCACGTGGGCGCAGCTCCCTGGCAGTGGGGGGCGGCAGTACCAGCTTCCCCAGAAGAGCTAGGCCATCTCTATGACCCCTGCCTCCTCTGCGGTGTGGGTATCTCGAGGGAAGCTGGGAGGGCTGCCTAATGCAAGCTATTAAGCCAGCTAATGACCTGTGAAGGCTCCTGAACCCTCCAGCCTCCAGCCGGGCCTCCCCTCTGCTCAGGAGCCCGCTGTCCCCTGCTCATTTGGTCACTGCCCACAATCGCTGTTATCGTGCTGGACAGCAGTTTCTCAGACAGAGCCAGAGGCCTTGGAGCCAGTTCTTGACTTCTCAGGCCCAGCTGGGGCTGTGTACACAGCAGGCAGTTAATAAATATTTGCTTGGGGCCGGACCCAGTCACCTTCATTCCCAGGACTGTGAAGGGACTGGGTTAAGACGGGGACATGTGTAGCCGGGTCCTCACCCCTGCTGCAGAGATGTGGGCAGCAGCAATCATTCTGTCTTCTGAAACGGTGGAAACCCAGCCCCCCTATGCCTGCCTTACCTCGTTACCTGGGGTCCAGATATGGTGAGCACTGTCCCTGAATCCCGCCTGCCCCACCAGAAATTAGAATGGGTTTCTAAGCCTGGCCCTTTGTCACCTAAGACAGTGTTGGGGTGCTTCAGAACCCAGGAAGCATCCCCTGGAAGCACTTGGCACTCCATTTGCAGTCTGTGCTGTGCACCCCCAGAAAACCCAAACAGCCTGGCTGTTCCGGCCTGAGCCTGAGGGCCCCTGGTCCCTGGGGCAGATCGCATGGCTCCTGTCTGCAAAAGCCAAGATGGACCAGCTGGATCTCAAAGCCAGGCCCGGTCTGAGAAGCAGGTGGCACCCTGAGAGCTCACACGCCTCCTGGGCTTCAGGGCTGGGTTCTGAAAACAGGGGTGAGAGAAGAACCAGACGGAGGCAAGAGCTTGGTATGGCGGCATTTAATCCAACTTCAAATGAATTCTGAGGACGAGCAAGGCCCCCTCAGAGAAGGCAGGGCATCCACGGCGAGCACGACGTAAGGGAGGCCCAGAGATAGCAGTTTCTCGGAGCCACAAGGGCAGACCTGTGGATCACGCACTCAGAAATGAGCCCAACGCCTACCAGTGCTCACCACAGCCCCGCCAAAGCCCAAGCTTTCTCCTAAGACATAAGAACGAACTGTCCATCACCACCACAGCGACAAACCAAAAACAAACCCTAACCCAACTGAAAGTCTGTCTTTCAACTGCTCAAACGAATCAGTGCAAAGTGAGGTAAAGAGCCCTCCGCCACCAGGCCGAGGCCGGGTACTGGTCCTCAGACCAGCCTGCGTCTCTTGGAGTCCCTCCCCATGTCGCCCTCCTGCGCATGAGGCTCACAGCCCAGTGGGGACACCAGGTTCAGCAGGGGGTCCTCGGAGGCCCGGCCGAAGAGCGCCAGCAGGAGGGCCACACCGAAGCCGGTGGCTCTCTCGCCCTGTGGATGGAGCGGGGAGACTGGGCTCGCGGTGCCTCAGCCCCACCTCGCTCACGGGACTTTCTGGGTGCCCTGCACCCCCCCTCCCCGAGCCCCTTCTTGGTAAGGGCATCCCAGAGCGTAAGTCAGGGTCGTGGTCCTTCCCCCAGGGTCAGGCTAGGGTTGGACGAGTGACATGGCCCCATGCACTCTGGCGCTGACCCCAAGATCCCCTCAGGGTGGAAAGGGGGAGTCTGGGCCTCCTGCTGCATTCACAGCAGCCACACTGCTCCCAGGGACAAGGAGGCCGGGGGTCAGAGGGGACTTCAGCAGGCCGGAGGCTGGGCCCAGACAGTGCAGCCCACAACATAAAATGAGTTCAGCTGGCAGCTCTGGAGCCAGAGAGACCCTATGGACAAGAGGGAGGGGCTGGCCAGGCCAGTGGGCAGGGGACAGCGGGCCCTAACGGGAAGGAGGACACCTGTTGCGTGGCACTCACAGCATGCACCGGCGCAGCGATGTCCAGGTGGACCCAGACCCCAGGCCAGTCGAAGCCGATGTGCGAGGCAATGAAGAGGCCGGCACAGGAGCTGGGGCTGTTGTCCCGGTCCTGAGGAGCCAAGACAGAGTCACTGGCAGCTCCCGGCGTGGGGAGCCTGCGGCCTATAACATTCGGCCACGTGGCGGGGATCCAGGGAGAACTCACCCTGCCCACCCAGCCTCCTCCTAGGAGTCCTCTCCCCTCCCACACACACACATCAATGCCCCAATCTGCCTCATGGGGCCGCATCCGCTCTGCCGCCCACTACCTCCACCTCCCGGACACACAGCCCCAACCTACCGCCACCGAGTTCTTCATGTCAGCCACAGCAGAGGTGAACTCGCTGAAGTGCAGCTCGGGGCAGTAGACCAGCGCGTGTACCAGATCCCCGCACTTCTGGCCTGCCTTCACACAGGCCGCCTCCCACTCTGCGCTGTTGGTAAGCACTGCCGCGTGGTACTTGCCCGTGGCGATGCCCTGGGTGACAGCCAGCGTGAGGGAAGCATCCAGTGAGGGCAGGAGAGAAACACAAGAGACAAAGGGGACAGATGCCAGTGGAAAAATAAGCCAACAGAGAGGCAGCGAGAACCAAATTACAGAAAAGAAAAAAGTAACAGAAGAGAACCATGAACATCTGGCGTAGCTTGAGTCCCAGCTTCCTGCACCCTCACTGGCCTTGTGCACCTCAGGGCCAAGGGGTTCCAGCTCCCCAGACTGCAGCCTGGGCACCCACCTGAGCCCCAGTCAGTGTGGCCATGTCCAGGATGATGTCGGCCCCCAGGTCCTTGCAGGCATAAGACACGCCATCAGCCAGCACCAGCCGGCCCTCGGCATCCGTGTTGTTGATTTCCACAGTCCTAGGGCACAGCAGAGGCCCCGGCTCAGGCACGCAGTTCCCGGGGCACTGAGAGGACTTCCTTCAGTACTCGGGAACCATGCTTAGAGGCCCCTATCGAGTAGCTCTCCCACTCCCAACACAATCTGTCCTCTCAGAGGTAGGGCGGGAAACAGGCGGCCACAGCTCAAACAACAGAGGCCAGGGAGAGACAGGGGGAGCTTACTTTCCTGAGTACAGCAGGTGGATGTCATCTGGCCTGGTGGCATTGGGCCCCACGGCATTCTCTGCCAGGCAGAACACGGCATGGAGGTTGTCTTTGAAGCCCTGGAGGGAGAAGCGGCCGAGGCTGCACTTGCAGACCAGAGGCCTGGAAGGGTGAACCTGGGGCTCTCAGACCCTCCATACCATCCTCGACGAAGTCCTGCCAGCTACTAGGGCTGAGGTTCCCTGGGGGGCTCGCTCCCAGGATCCTCCATGGCCCGTGCCAGGCTGTGAATGCACCTGACATGGGGCACAGGTGCTCCAGCCAGGACAGTCCCACAGCCCCCTCGGCCTCTGCCTCCCTTCCACAGGGGTCAGCCAGCATTGTGTCCTCCCATGCACACACGCGCACACACGCGCACACACACACACACACACACACACACACACACACGACAGCAAGAGTGCGCCCTTGTGGAAACAAGTGTGGTTCTCCCTTCCTGATGCCAGAGCACTGAGACTGCCCAGAGTGTCTGCCTGTGCAGGTTCGAGTGCACCCTGCAATCCCTGGAGCCTGTCCCAGGCAGCAGGGTCCAGTACAGCCAGACTCCTGCACCCCACCCCTCTATACAGAGTGGGCCAGCCCTCCCTGCAGCCCTCTTCCCAATGGCTCCCAGAAACTCAGCTTCTCTCTGGGGTCTCACCACAGCTGAGCCTTCCTCAAGGGCAGGGTCCCCCCAAACAGGCCCTGGGGATAGCTGCTGGGGAGAGTCTAGGGCAACAACGGCTCAGAGATCACCCTGGGCCTCTGCTCAGGACCTGCCGCACGAACGGCCCCAGACTCCCACATGGTGCACAGGACAGAAGCCCCTTGGGGGCCACTGGAGCTTCTCCCCTGAGCTCGAGGTGACACTGGATCAGCACAGACAGGGAGCACCGAGTCCACAGCCTCACTTACCTGCTTGATGGCAGCTCTGAAGGCCCCCAGGATGGCAGCTGCACCCCCACAATCTCGCTTCATGCCTGGCATGGTGGTCTGCAGCAGTACAAAGGAACCAGGAGAGAGGCTGAGTCACATGAACTTGGGCCTGCATGTCACACCAGGCCCCCACGTCCCACGGGGAACCCCAGCCTGTGAAGGCCTCTCATGAGGCCAACCGAGCACCCACAGAGTGTGTGAAACTCTGGCAGGTCCGAGGGGGCATTCCGGTTTCTCTTCAAATTGTATAAATCTTTTGCCTTTTACCAACGGGGCGATCTCCAGAAGCAACAAGAAGATGGGGAGGAGGAATGTGTGAGATCCCCTTTATTCCAGCAGTGCTTGGGGCGATGAAGCAGTAACTGCGGTGATGGTGGGGAGAAGAGTGGCCGCCCGAGGCCAGGCTGTCACACAGACACAAGCACCCTGACCTCCACCACACAACAAGCCGCTACATCAGCCTGGGGTCTGTCTGCAGGGTCTCTTTGTCCACTTCTCTGCCCAAAGTGTGAGGAAGAAAGCGAAGTGCAGGAAGCCGCCGAGGCTCACTTAGGGTCACCCAGCCAGCACTCTGCAGACCTGTCAGGCTTCCGGTTGGCGATCAGCGCTCCGGGTCACCGCCAGGATGTGGAATCCCAGAAGTGATGCCTGCCAACTTGCCCGTGTACTCCACTTGTCACAGCCGCCCGCTGGCTTATGGACGGGAGCAAGTATGGGGCCCTCTGGTTCCCTGCCTGTCCAGCGGCCCCTTCTAGTAGCGCAACAGTCCAGCGGTGCAGGCCTGCTGGAGCGCGCACCTCTGGGAGCCGACTGCCAGTCCACTCGTCCTGGGAAGCCAGGGCCCTGCTCCCCACCCACACTGAAGCCTTCTGACCTTCCGGGTCTCCCTCCAGCCCTGCTCAGAGCCCCTCCAACCTCGCTGTCTGCCCCGCACTCTCCTTTCTGCTCTGCGCCTCTCCATCTTCTCTCAGCTCCATTCCCATCCTCCCTCGAGCCACCGCCACCCTCCCAGCAGGACAGGGAACTGTCTCTGCCCGACACTCAGTTCACGTCTCCCAGGGGAGGAGGTGGAAGGAGACGGCCTCTGGCCGCCAGAAGCAGCCGCGCGCAGAGCTGCCGTCCTGTCGCACACGTAAATGTCTATAAATGACTTGGAAATGGTTATACATCTTTACGCTTTATAGGTTCCCAACTTGAACTGACAAGTTTGTAATCTAAACTAACAACAGGTCGTCAGATGTAAGGATTTGTGCTTGAAATGTACTGAGTGATTTTTGTATTGCACAAGCCTTGGATTTTAGTGGAAAGTATTTTTAGCTATAAATGGAGGTGCTTTTACAATTAAGTTGAGGGAAAACGATCCATCCAGCACTACTGAAAACAAGCCATCTTTCTGACCCAATCGGCAAGGAAGCATAAGATTGTTTTAAATGGAAAGATGGAACCCTGAGTATAGGATCAAAGCATTTCAGAATGGCCGGCACAGGAGATGCATCCGGATGGCCATTCACGGGACACTGAGCTCTTGTCAAAAGTGCCACCCCCCCCATCACAGGAAGGAAAATGCCAAGCTAACAAAAGAACTCAAGTGATGGCACGCTTGACAGCTTCTCATGACGCTCCTTGTGACACTGAGACGCCCTCTGCCTTCTTCAGTGGCCTGGCACTGCAGGGATGGTGCAGAAGCTGGGGTGGAGGAGATGGGTGCCCGGCACAATCGATGCAGTGGCCCCAAGGGAACCAGGAGTCACTGGGATCCTCTCCAAACCCTCTGGGAAGTCCCTTGCCGAGGCAGTAAGTTAATATTTAAGGCGATCCCGAGTATAAGCCATGGTCACGATTCGGGGCGAGGGGGCGTGCTGCTGCCGCGTGGCTGCTCAGAGGGGACTCAGGGCTGGGCATTTAAGTGATGAGTGCAACCAGCTGCTGTGCTCACGGACAACAGACAAGAGACAGTTTGTAGATTTAGAGGCCTGGCAAGTATTTTCTAGCCAAAGAGCAAAGGGAGCCTCATGCGTCCAGAAAATAGCTGACAGCATTTATTACTATGGGTAACACTGGAGCTTCAAGCACAAATCAGAAGGCTGAAAACCTCACATGGGTCACCCTGACGGCATCCCTCTACTCAAAGACTTGTGATGAGCTGGGCGGCAGAATCACTGAGGGTGAGGTTTTGATATTATAGGGTTAGATGTGTCCAAAGTTGGGTCTTCTGCATAAGTCTGTGGGCCAATATCCTCCAAACTACACATGTACGAGATTACAAAACCAAACATCTGAAGCTCAACACAGACTAGAAATTTCCCTGTAAAAGAGGATAAGTTCCACATCATCACCAACTTTTAAGAAAAGACTACTTGTTGAGTTTTGGTGTCACAGCAAAGAGTATCCATGGTTATCTGAAAGAGGAACTGAAATATTTCTGTCCTTTCCAACTACACAATGCAAGAGGCTAGATTTTCTCGATCTGCTTCAACTGAAACACACGGCAATGGACCAAACGCTCTGTGGAGGCAGACAAGATCTGTTACTGTCGCTTCTAAGGAGATCTGCAAAAATGCACAGCGCTACATTTCTCACTTTTTTCCATTTTGGGAAATACAGTTGTATTTATATTTCATAAAATTACGCCATGTACGTTCACATGTCAGACGGCTGTATTGCTATTTTTAAGTGAACTGTATTTTCACACTCCTCAGATTTAAATTCCAGTAGGTAAATACCAGTGGGTGTCACGCATTATGAACCAACCTCTTTGTAATCGATACTTTCTAGAAGTGTAGCTAGGTCCTGAGTAATGTCTGAGACCTAGTCCATGCTGATCCCGAGTGGCCTTTGAGATCTTTCCAAACAGAGCTGTGACTATTCTTGCAAAACTGAGTTTTGCTGGCACCACTTAGCTCTCATTGTGAGAAGTGACCACTCCCGTGCCAGCTGCTCCTGACGCAGCCACTTGGGAGGACGGGCGCTGTGTGGAGCTTCACACCTGGCCTCAGGTGCGGGTGCGAGTGCCTTCAAGTCGGCACAGATCTGTCGGCCACAGAAGACGCACCGTCTAGCCTGGTGCTCAGCAGAGCACAGCTCAGGAGACGCCCCAGGTTCACCCTGAAGTGACACTGAGGACGTCCCAGCTTGGGTGCCGGTGGGCGGTGACAACTGGGCAACACGGAGACACCTGACCATTCAGCGCCTGCAGGCCCGTCTGACCTCAGGTAGAGGCTGGGCCCAGGCTCTCATTTTTGGAGGGTGATCCAGAGCCACGAAAGGTACCCTGAGCTCTGGCAGCCCTTCCAACTACCCCCAGACCACTGCCTCCCTGGAGCTGTGTGCCTGAGGATGATCGAAGTGACACTGGGTGCTAGTGTTTCTCCTGAGCGGACAGCGGGAGGGCCAGAGCAGAAGGACCGGGCCCTGGGGCGTCTGCATCTCGCGTCTCGCTCTGGCCCTCTAATAAGCCAACACCAAGAGTAAGAGTCTGCTGCGAGGAGAAAGGATCCACACACTGCCAGCCAGGACGCAGCTCTCTCAAAGTAGCACAAGGGACCGAGGTGCAGGGCGGGCGGCCACACAGGCGCAGGACAGGAGCGCACAGCGGCCACACAGAAGTCAGCGGGGTTCCACCATGACAACGTGCCGGCAACTCTATGCAACTCTTCGTAGTGCCAGTGATCCTCTTCCTCGCCCCCAAACACATGTTCTTAAAGTATAAACAACTGCTGTGGCCACTGTCACATTTTAGTCCTACGAATAAGACTTGTGTTCATCTATCCATAGTCTTAAGCAACACTCTCCCACGCATATGCAAGTACCAGCCAGCCATAGGGTGGCTGGCCGTCACACACAGACTCAGCAGGAACAGTTCTGTTCACTCGGGAACAGTTTGAAGGGCAGGAGTACTGGGGTGCTCCACTGAGCTGGGTGCCCTAGTGCTGTGGCGTTCTCAGCCTCCCCCGCTCCAGCGCAGTGTCAGGGCTGAGGAAGGCTCCAAAGCCAATTATCTCCTATTCTGCTGCTCTATGTGGACCCTTGAGCATGGGTGGAAGATGTTTTTGATCCACAGACATCTGAACTTGAGGATGGATCCCAGAGAACTGAACATGGTCATTTCCATGGCTTCCGGAAGGCACTGTGAAGTGGGGTGCTCAGGACCCTCTGCCGCGGTCCTCCGGAATGCCCCAGCACGAAATTAACAGTGTTCTTGGACCGGTTGGGAAGGAAAACAGCCTGACAACCTGGCTGCTGTCTGTCGAACATAAATGCGTGAAGACAACTAATTGCTGAAGTCAAATTTGTGGATGACAAGGCCCACATACAAATATTGATGCCGCAGTCCATTCCAACAGCCCGAGTTATCTTTCCTATTTTAAAAATCCATTAATATTTAAAAAGTTAATACATTGCTGCTTTCTTGTAGTGGATTAAAAAAAAAGTTTCACTGGCATGATAATATGCATGGAATTCAATAAAAGAGAATGTTTGCTATTGGGATTATTTTAAAACCTTTATTAGTTTCACTTTGTGATTAGTCCTGAAAATAATTTAGTTTAGAGGAAGAGAGAGGTTTTAAGAAAACGATCATCCACTCTGCAAACACAGCTGATGCCCTAAGCAGCAACCAAGGTGGTGGCTCAACAACCAGGGAGGCAGAGGCCAAGTGGAGAAGGCAGACTACGCCTCCGCAGCCACACCCTTGGTCCTGGAGGGATGCGCTAGGTGCAAGTCCGAGCCAATGTTCCCAGATACTCTGAGCTCACAAGAGGCCTGAAATGCAGTCTTCTATGAGAATTCTTCCTGTTTTTAAATGTTGGTAACTAATTCAAATTTCAAAAACATCATCTGACCGACAGGACACACCTGTGAGCCCTGCCGGCTGCTGCCAGCTTGCCAGTGCCTGCTCTGAACGTGCTTTCCGTGCCCTCTGCCTCCTCGTACAGGCGGGAGGCACCGGGCAAAGAGCTGTGTGAGGGGTGCGGGCAGCGGACAGCTCCACGGCCAGGATGGTGCTTGCTCCTCAGGTGCTGCGCGCCAGTGACAGCCACCCCACGTGGGCCTTCTAGGGCCACCTCCAGCGGCATCTGCAGGGGACATGCTCCCTACCTCTTCTGTGGGGGTCATCTGTTTCCAGGGGGCCTTCTTGAGGCCACCACTCAGAACTCTCTCCACAGAAACCCAGGGACATGGCACTGGCACGGTTCTGTGATTGCCTCCCTGGGCTCTGTGTTACTTTCTTTTAATCATTTCTATGACTTCTCAAAGGTCCCTGTTCAGATTTTGTGATTCCCGATTTCTGCTTAAAATGTGGCCATGAAATGCAAGGATCCCTCCACAAGATCGCTCCTTCTCAGAACAGAAACAGGCCCCAAATCTGCCCGATTCAGGGCTTACAGAGACCCAGCCCTCCCAGCCCTCCCTCTGGCCCGGACACCTCACCTTCCCCTTGATGCTGAGGCCCCCAGTGTCATACACGATGCCCTTGCCCACCCACGCGATGGTCTGCGTGGCTCCGTCGGGGGTATGGCTGAGGACCGCCAGGGCCGGAGGGTGCAGGGCCGCCTTGCCCACGCCGTAGATCCCTGTGGGGCAGGGAGAGTGTGGTGAGGCGGGGCTGCTCAGGTAGAGCCTCCCACGCGAGGGCCACTGCTGCGGCCCGCCGGGCACAGAAGAGCGGTGCCGCCCCCACCAGCGCTCCCTCTCCTCCCGCCCTGGCAGGCAAAGGCCAGGGAATGCGAATCAGTTCCAAGGTGAAGACTGGGAATGACAGTCCGCACACAGGACTGTTGGGCAAGAAAACTGGCCGAGGGAACAAACGCTGCATCCTTTCCAGAAGGAAGAGAACAGGCCTGCAGAAGGAAATGACTTTTGGAGGGGGCTTCAAGGCCGCCGGCCCACAGGCATCCCCCTTCCCTGGGCCCTAGTGTGCTGCCACCAACACCTCCTTTTTCCAGTCTGCTCCCAAGGCCTCTGCTCCACTGCCTTCCTCCACTTTACAGGCTTCATTTTCCAAAAAAAGACCGCGGCTGCTGAAGGGCAGAGACTGAGCCCCAGGGTCCCTCCATCACTGAGTTGAATAAGGACACAGGCAGACAGCACTAACAATGGCTCTCCCGCGAACACCCACCACAAATGCACCTCCTCTGAGAAACTTCCCCACACAAGACACTTATGTGTCTGTAGTTGTACCGCTGGGACAGCTCCCTGCCCCTCTGGGGTGTTCACGTCTCTGCTGTCTACTCCACCTCAGAGTGGCAGGAGGGATGAGACACCTCCTGGAGGTTACAAGGTAAGATGGGAGCTCCCACCCTGCTTACTCTGCCCCGCTGTCCCTAGAGACCCCAGCTGCCATCCCGTGAGCGCCCTAGACAGATCCACGGACTGGAGTAGCATCTGCCCCAGCAGCCTCCAGCCCGAGACTGCCCGGAGCCTGAGTGGTCGCCTGCTGGCAGCAGAGGATGGGCCCCAGGCCGAGTCAGTGACCAGCAGGCTGCAGCAGGGAGACCCCCCAGGTCAGCCTGGGGCCCTCTGTTTCACAGCCATAGACAACGGGGCCTGTGATAGTCCCCAGCTGCCTGGCAGCCTCCACGTGACCCAGCCACAGCTGTCCTCCCCTGGAGTTCCTGGGCAGTGGGGAGCGGCCCTAAGCCGTCAGGGAAGGCCTGTCTGAGGAGGTGGCCTTGGAGCCCAGACGCGCAGGACAAGACAGCTCATCTGAGTGCCTTGCGGAAAAGCATTCCCGATGAGTGAGCCACCCATGCAAAGCTCTGACATGGACGTGAACTTGTGTATTCGAGGAACGGAGAGGCCTGCTGAGCTGGTGGGAGTGTGGTATGCAGGGCGTGACGAGGCTGCGGTGGGGGACGGACTTGGGGCTGGCTGCCTCCGGAACATGCCTCAGAACCTGGACAGCTGCCGCCCCTCCTCCAGAGACCGTCAGCTTCCCAGGCTCTGGCCTTGCGCTGGGACAAGGGCTGATTTGCCTCAGGTCACAAGGAAGATAAAGTTGGGGACAGTGTACTGTGGGCCCTGCTGGACCTCTGCCATCCAAGTGCCCCTGGCCACTGCCTGAGGCCAAGACCCATGGGGTGGCAGCTCCCACCCACCTCCGAATCCTCTTGTCTTCAGTTCCTCATCCCGGATGACGGTTGGGGCGATTCCCAGCTCTTTTCCAACTCTGTTAATCTCCTGGACACGATCATGGAAAAAACACGAAGACATGTGAAGATGGCCAATCGAGGCGAGGCCGGGGCTGGGCGCCAGGGATGAGCCATCGCCTGTGCAGTGGGAGCGCAACCAGCCTTGGAAGCCAGCAGCCTTGACTCTCGTGATTAAACCCAGGAGAGAAGGCTCCCCCAGCCAGCCCCCAGCTTCCTGCAGCTCATGGCTGCAAGCCTACTGCGGGGCCTCAGTGAGGCCTTGTCCTCCCCACACCCTCTGCCAAGGCTGCTGGCCTTTTGGAGCTGGGTGGATGAAAGTGCACAGGCAGCAGCTCCAGGGCTCCTGGGCAGTCAGAGAGCACGAACAGCCTCTAGGTCTCCACAACCCACACCTCGGCCAGCCTCTCCCCTGGCGTAAGACCACGCACCTCAAGGAAGATGTCTGTGTTCATCTCATTGCAGGGAGTGTCCACAATGCGGGCTGCCAGCCGCACACCCTCCGTGGCGTTTGCTAAACACTGGGAAAAAGCAAAAGGTGGTCAGTGGGCCTAGTAGGAGGTAGACGTTCCCAGGAATCCAGTGGTATCTGAGGCACACACCCCAGATCTCCCTGGGAGGCTACAGGGCTACACTCAAGGCATCAAGGAGGCTGGTGGGAGGCGGAAGCAAGACCCACACCAGGATCCCCTCCCCAGCAGCTGGGCCCCATCATGCAGTATTTTGCCCTGGCCTCACACTGGGGTCCTTTCAAAGTCCACACCCTGCTCCTCCCTCATCCAGCCTCTGCAGACCGCACCCTTTTGCTCCGGTGAGGATCTCAGCACCTACGCTCAGGACCTTCTTGAATGCCACCTTCCCCAGCAGCTTTCCAGGGGCTCCTGCAGGCTCTCCCCTCAGCCCAGGGGAGCTGCTTTCCCATGTGGGCAGCTCATAGCTGCTTCAGGGCACCCAGGTCTGGCTGCCTTTGTTTTCCTTATCACTGGGCAGCATGCTCTGGGCACAGGGTGTGGAAAGGAATAGCAGACCCTGCCTCAGGGAGCGTGTGTGTCTCCTTGGCACACAGTAGGGAGTAGGGAACTGGGCAAGTGGACCACACAGCCTCAGGTGCGGAGTCTGAAACCCCACCACTCAGGAAGGCGGCTGGGAATCAGACAAGTGCGAGTGCAGATGCCACATGTGCCCAGAGAGTGGCTGCCCCTGGCAGTTAGCAGAAAGCAGTGGTCCTGGTCCTGCTCCTGCTTCAGCCAACCTAGAGGCCTCGTCCCGCCTGCTCCTCTCTGCCGGTAGTGCCTCGCTCTCAGCTGATTCCCCGGACACCCTGCCCCACCTCACTCTTCACCGCCCACCCTCATGCCTCAGAAGCGCCAGGTAGCCGGCTGTGTCAGCGCCTCTGAGCTGGCCGGAAGGAGACGATATTAAGAGAAAAGCAGCCAGGGGCCCGCAGGTGCACGCGGTGACAATGAATTCGTCATCGGCTCCCCAAGGCCCACCGTGTCAGGAAGGGCAGGCACAGGGTCAATTCGCCAGCCTGACTGCCACCTCCGCCCTGTCTGATTGCTGCAAGAGCCACTGTCTGTCCTGGGTAATTAAACCCCAATGCCTCAGAGGTAGAGACCTGGGACTTGACAGCTCAGATATGAGATGTGCGTGTGTTCCTGCCACCCGGCAGCTCGCATCCTGTCTGAGAAGCACGTCAGGGCCACAGGACTGGCTTGGAGGGAAGCAGGTGTGACCCGGCCAACCCCAGTGAGCTCACAGCACTGCCACAAAGCAGGGAGGGAGCAGACCTCAGTTTCTTCATCAGATCCTTCCTTCATTCCGTCCACATGTGTTTGAGGACCCGGGCACACCAGCCAGATTCTGAGAATCCAGAGACATCTAGGGACTCAAGGCCAGCAGAGCAGGGACCACTCACCATCAAAGCTTCAGAAGAGGAAGGCAGAGGCTGCAGGACTTAAGAGCACTGGGGGCTGGACGGGGATTGAGGAGGCATCCCTGGCAGGGAAAACGGAGAGGGCTACAGAAAGGCCACACAGGGCATCAGACCCTGAGCAAGCCTGACAGGCAGAGGGACAACAGGAACCACTAAAGCTGCGAGCGGGACAGGGTGGTGGCGAGTGAAGGGGTGTGGACTGGAAGAGGGGTGGGGAGGGGCCTCCAGCTTCCAGGCTGGGGTCTAGAGCACAGTGGGTCCAGAGCTCAGAAGGGACTCCCCAGTGAGAGGGCTGGGAGTGCTCTTCGGAGTCCCACTGCAGATGGAACCCAGAGAAGGCTGATGCCAGCCAGAGAGGTTGTGACGGGACTGTGCAAGATGGCGGACAGGCTCCAGACAAGTAGCCATGCTCCAAGGAAGGGTGACAGTAACCAGCCCAGAGGCGGAGGCCTTAAAAGCCACACCGAGAAGGAGGTGCAAAGCAGCTTTCAGTAGGGGAGAGTAAAGAATTCAGATAAGCAGAGCAAGCAGACTGTTTTGTGAAAGTTTGGTGATGAAGAAAAAAGAACTCATTCAAGATGGCAGGGACAGAAGCAAGGTCCTTCCTTTGAAGGCAAGGAATCTGGCCGGGGGAAGTGGTTTTGTGCCAGCGCTGTGAGCTCACTGGGGTTGGGAGAGGAGACAGCAGACCAGGCAGGGTGGCTACCAAGTCCTTGGGTGGGGGACTCGCCTAGGGCTCAGTCTTCTTGGATCTAAAATGAAAGGTAAGCGCTGAAGCAGGAAATAATAGACTATCTGGTCTGGCTGCTGGAGTGGACAGATAGGCAAGGCCACAGGAGTGGGTTTGGGGCCAGCTGTGTGGGAAGGGAGCCCAGCATCAGGCCCATACACGGACTCAGAGTTAGAAATCACTTCCAGCCTTGTCTGCTGCAAAGCGTTACTCTTTGGGTCGAGTGAAATGACATATGTAAAAGCGCTCCCTTGACAGATCTAATACACACAAGCAAGGGAACACTGCTATTCAAACACAAAGGTGCCCCGCTAGATGAGCAATCAACACTGGCACACCGCACAGAACCCTGCAAACGAAGACTGCCCTGAGGGAGAGGGGCTCCCCGGGACCACGGCAGCCCTCCCATCCCCCTCTATGGGAACACCCACTTGCAATGTGGACACTTCCATGGGCCCGTTGTCCTGTCCCACCAGGAAGAACTCCACGGTGACGGTCCTTTTCTCAGAGCGACGGGAAGCCCCTGAGCGGTGCGTGAAAAGTGGGAAGGCCCGGGCCAGGGCGCAGGCGGATGCGAAGATGTCAGACTGCTCACAGACCATCTGCAGCACAGGAGGGTAGGCAGAGCAGGGGCTGAGGGCCACGGGGGCTGTGACCAGGAGCTGCCCCGCAGTGACTCTGCCTGACAGCAACTCCTGGTGGATGAAACCCACACAAAAGGACTCCACAGAGCCACGATCCCGTCTCCCCGTGCCTTCACCGGGACCTAGACCTGAAGCACGGCCTTGCTATATGAGAAAGTAGACGCTGGCCCCCAGAGTCGTCAAGCACCTCAGCAGCCATGAACACGAGGCATGGAGGCTCAGACGTGAGCGCTGGCCTCAGGAAATCCAGGCTGTGGTCTCTGGCTGGCCACCAAAACTGATCTGGCCAGACAGCTTGTCTGGACCTGCTGCCCTGTCTGGGGCACGTGCTGTGACGTGTGAGGCCCCCTCTGGGTCACAGGCTCAGCTGTGGGTGGAAGCTGAGCTCCCGGGACCATTGGAGCCCTCTGTCTCACAGACACACTCACCAGGATGCAGCGCTGGGCTCCGGGTGGCAGGCAGGTCCGCACCAGCCGGGTGATGAAATGGGCGGCAGAGGGGCTGTTGTGCCGGCTCACTCTGGAGGGCAAGGCTGCCACAGTGGCGTAGTTCAGGTAGAGGGGACAGCTGTCCGTGGGGTTGGGGTTGAGTGTGGCCAGAGCAGCCTGCCAGAGCTAGGTTAACAGGGAGAGGAGAGTCAGGGCGGACTTCAAACCGGGCCACGTGCCAGGGGTCCGCCCTGCCTGCCACGCCTGCATTTCCCGGGCACCCCACCGGGCCATTGGACGCTTGTGTCTCTGGCTGGCAGCATGCCACACTCGTGGAGGGAAGCCCGGGAGCGAGAGGGCCAGGGTGGGACCCCTTTGCTTCGAACACTTGGGCCCCCGCTGGGATGGGGCTTGGCCTGTTTCCACTGGCGCGGGGTCAGGGGCCGAGCGCCACGCGGAAGGGCAGGTGGCGG